ATGCTTGAGGACGATGTTCAAGTCGTAGATTTATTCAAAACTATAGAAAAAACTAAATGTGATACATCTAATGACTTTAATTTTGATCTAGGTTTATCTCGATTCTCTTGAAAACACCTTTTCCCTAATTAAACATTAGAAAGTCGGTGCACAGTGCGCTTTGCAGTAAATAACTAACTTTTGTGAGAAAAATATTTAATAATTAAAAGCTTGCAAGCTCTTGTTAAATTTTTTTCCTCGATCTTAAAAATCATTCACTCATCCTTGTCATCCAACTAAAGAATTTAAAAGTCTAAAAAAGATTTGTTACCTCAATACATTTTTATGGTAAATTGCAGTAATAAAGGCGACTTCCTTTTATTGAACTTTCAGATATTTAGAATAATGCCAAATTCAATTATTAATATTTTCTTTAAGTTAATGAGATAATCCTAGATGATATAAACATTGATTTTGATAAATATGATTGTGATGTTGTAGAATATATCAGTGGTTTTGTTGTTAAAAGTGTTGGCATTCACATATCTTGTAATATTTGTTTTAAATTTGCTCTAAAGCATGCCAGCGACAAACACACTAAAAATAATTGGATAAATTTCAAAGAAAAATACTGCCTAAATCATCCTCAAAAAGAAATTGTGGACATTTGTAAGTGTGCAGAAGCAGAGCTTAAAACCTCCCTAAATTTTGAAAATTGCATGAAAAAATTGTTTTTTCAGAAAATGACTCAAAAAGTTGTCAATCAATTTACATTCTGATGTCCCAATTTTTTTGATCAAATGTATCTTGTCCCTGGGCATGACCCTGAACACCGTTATAATCTTCTAGTAAAACTTGTCAAAAAATATCTTGCCATAAGAGTTCATAAATTTATCAAAAATCATAATGTAGAAACAAAAAAAAAAGTCAGGAAGAAGTTTACAAAGCTTGTTCATTTTAGAAATGAATAAATGATATTTAATGATATGCTTGTATTCTTTACTTAAAGACACTTTTTGTTTTGTTTTTAAATTTTTCTTTAGATTTTTGGTGTAAAGATACTGGATATCCAAACAAACATGGGAATTATATGTAAATGATAAACAGACAAAAGATTAAATAAAGAAAATTAGTCTTGGGCTTTCCAAAATGTGGTAATTTGGTATGCAATTTTCACACATTTCCACTTATTTCAGTTTTCAATTTGTTTAAAAAATGATATAGGAAACTTTCTATTTTTGAAGATACATAAAAGATGAATTATTTTGAATTCTTAGCTTTTAAAAGTAAAAATAACCTCAGATAGGTCATTGTAAATCAAATGAAGATTCCTAATTCAATATTTGTTGGGACACTCGAGTAACCGAGTACATATACTAGAGTTTAGTTAATAAAGGTTTTTAATTATAATTTTACAAAATCGAAAATTTTCTTTTTATTCTTATTCTGGTTTTTTAGCTTTATGATAGTAGCTATAAAGGGCGCTGCACAAACTTAGTTTCTAATTTGCAAAAAAGATTGAGATAGCCCCCTACTGTACGCCCACTGTGCATCTTGTACAAAAAGGTTCCGGCATTGAGCATTTTCAAACGACGCGTACCGGCTTATCAGACGCCCGTACGCGTCAACCCTGCTTCCTGTCTAGTTGTTCCATGCTTTCAGCCTGAAAGGGAGTTCAAAGTGTACAATTCGTGTAAATGTTCACAAATGATACACAGTACATGCTAATACAGTATAATCCCTGGAAATATACTTCAACATTTTTTTGTTTTACAAAGTTGTTAAAGTGAGTGTTCGCGAAAAATGAAAGGGGGTATAGGCTTACGGCGTTAAATAATCGCTTTTGATCGCTACTAATCTTTCTTCTATCTGTTGCGTCTATAATGAGAAAATTGTTAAAAAACGTCTCATACCGAAGAACGTAGATTCCTTACAAATTCAGAAAGTTGCAACATATGACTCAGATCGTAACAAAATCAATTTAATTCCAAACAAAGCATTCAGATATTGCAACTTATAGTCATCGATTATTTTTCGACGCATGCGTATATAGTTAATATTTCATAGTGTTTTTTACTTTCTATGATCCGAGAGTGACTTTAGAAAACATTCATTCTTGTTTCGAGAATTTTGATAATGAAGACGACATTTTACATTGAAGACGAATTACCTGTACGGCGCGCAGTAAAGCTAAGGTAAAGAGGAACTGAGGATACCCAGAGAAGAAGAAGAACAGGGAAGAAACCAGCAATAGTTTGAAACAAAACTAGGAAAAAAGGGAAGGGAAATTATGAAATATCAACTATATACAAATGCGTTGAAAAGTAATCGATGACTATAGGATTTAAAGTATATCTAAATTATTTGTTTGATATTAATTTGATTTTTTTACGATCCAAGTCGTATGTTACAACTTCCTCTATTTGTATGACTTCGTTCTTCGGTATGAGACGTTTTTAACAATTTTCTCCACATAGACGCAACAGATAGAAGTAAGATTAGTAGCTATCAGAAGCGACTATTTATCACCGTAAGTCTATACACCCTTTCATTTTTCGCGAACACTCCCTTTAAATAAATTTTAACGTGTGTATTTGCTAAAGTTGACTTAAAATTATGATTTTATCAAACATCAAAACGTAAAAATCCTTGTTTATAAATTGAATACGTAAAAAATTGGTCCAGGGCCCAAAAGGTTATATATAGCACAAATGTGTGAAGTACGCCTGCAGTATGGAAACAGTACAACAAAATGGCTGTTTTACACTTTTTTGAATCAATTCCTCTCTATGTTAATCTTTGCATTTGTGTTTTCTCCGGAGAATTCTGACAAAATTAATAAATATCTAAATTGTTCACTTACTGCTATAAAAAGGGGGATGATAAAAACCAATTTTGCCTTAATTGTTGTGTTTATTAATGAAATGCCCGTGTTTTGGCTAAAATTAAAATTTATACCCTTAATTATTTGTGTTGAACATGAGTTGAAATATTAAATAGATTTAATTTTAGATTGCGGAATTGTGTGTCGTATGCTTGATTAATATACACTAATCATATTTTTCACCTAAGTATTGAATTATTTAAATCTTAATTATTATTTGACATTAATCTTAATTTCTTTTTATGTTATAAATGGAAGCAAAACATTAGAAAGGGGTTACACTACTATCCATGCAATGAAAAATAGTTGATATATGTATGTATACAAAAAAAGCATTATCTTTTGTCTACTTAACACAAAATATTTGCACAAAATCCCAGCAAATAAAATGATTCGCAAGACAAAAACACGATAAAATAAATTTTATATATTATAAAACGTAAAATAAATGTTTATTTTCAACTTTAAATGTTAAATCTTCTTAATCTTGAATATTCCAAGTTCTACGGATAAAAACTTTAATGTAAAACTTGAGCCTGGTATTTTTTACAGATTATATAAATGTCTATAAAATATTTAAAACTTTTTTGATCAGTCTTTTTAAATGAATATTTGATCAACACTTCTGTTGAAAATTATGTAACATGAAATCTAAATTTTTTTTCTATTTTAACCTTTCAAAAACATTAAAGAGCTTTTGTTCCAAACATTATATCACAGCTGAGACAGATAAGACATGAATTGTAGAAGAGGATTAGCAGATTGTATATATTTCAACCTAAAGCGATAGTTCTGATTTGTTCCTAAAGAATTGTTGAATGAGAAGACGACTGTTAGATCTAAGTTCTAATTTCGAAAAGTCAATAAACATAAAACATTAAACACTGTACTACATCATAGTAGAAAGCGTGCACAAACATGTCATCATGCACAAAAGGAAAAAATACTGTACCTCTCCTGTCTTGTCTTTATAAACTGTGAAATACGTCCAAAATCAATATTTAGATTTTATGGAACTATTTTTAATAAAAGTTCGAGTTGTTTATTCAGGTTTTTCGTTTAAACGTTTCCAGGAATATACTGGAGGAAACGGCTTAGCGCCATCCAACTTTTATAAACTTCTAGTTTCCTAAGCTCAGGGGTTGCCGGAGGATTTTTTTAATGTTTAAAAGCAAGAATATAAAGTGAAATTGAAAAATGTATTTATTTATATTAAAAAATGATCTGAGCCTCATTTTCAAAGCTCTCAACTTTAAATGTATATTTTTAAACCTTGAAATAGCGGAGCAACTGAAATAGTTATATTCAATATATTTACCAAACATTTTTACCATAAAACTCTAGAAATTATATGATGATCATAAAATGTACATACATTAAAAATATACAAATTGAATTTTAAAAAAAAGATACCAGAGGCGCATACAGGGGAGGGGGCTATTGAGACTCAGTCCCCCCCCCCCTGGACCAGTTAAATCTCAGTGTGCTGAGCCACCTGGAAAGCCCCCCCCTGGACTAATTCCTGAATACCTGAAAGATACAATTTTCAATCTAAAAAATGTACAAGTTAAATATATTTTGATATTAATTAAAATCATGGACAAACCTGGAAAAATATAATGTTCAGGAGTAATTTAAAAATTGGGTTAGGCTAATAATTTTTGCCGGAATACTTGGTAAAAAAAAACACAATTTTTGAACTTTCAATTCTTCTTAGGTTTTAATTTCTAAAAATAAGATTGTTGTCTTAAAATAAATAAATAAATATTTTTCTTTTAAAAATCAAAACTGTTTTCCACTGAAACAAAATGCTGAAAACTATTCTCATGAGATTATCAACAACTTTTCAAAACATGAAGTCCATTACATTTTATGTTTTTACTTATTGACTAAAGGCTTTAATTTTTTTGTTGTTGAAAACCCAACAAAAGATGTATAATTGGATATATAAAACAAAAGAATTTTTTATAATTTTAACGGTACACAAACTGAACAGTTTAAAGTTTTGAATGCATTTAGAATCAAAAAGTTCATAGCATTAATATCGATGCTAAACATATATTGGTAAGGACACTTTGTCTTTGAAAAAGTGGAACTACAAAATGCAATATCTAAAGAATTTTTTTAAAATGATTAAAAATTGTGTGATAATTAATTTGTTTTTGTCAAAGGTGCCAATTTAAAATCAGTCTACTTTTAAAGACAACTGAATGTACTTTTGAGCAAAACTAAATTATTTATATGTCACCAATCGTTCAAAAACATAAACTCAATCTAAAATCCCATAAACTACATTCTTTCATTTCAAAATTAGACAATCAATTAAAAAAGTCAATTAATTATTAATATTGGTCCATTGCTGCTGTTTCAGATTGTCAGCGAAAATTTAAGCAAAAACCCTTCTATCTCTGAAATGTTCGGTTTGTACTAAGAAATGAAAAATATACAGTAAGACCATTACAACTCTGGAATAACGCTTAATGTTAAAAATTAATCATTAAAATGAATTATAGCAAATGTCAAAATAAATTCAGATCCGGGCTGAAACCCCATTTTACAATCAGAGGACTTGAAACTCCAGGCTGATGAAAGGAGCCTAAAGTTTTCTCTAAAACTCCTGATTTGATTTGGACTATTTTAAGTCGAACAGTCATCTTCCTAATCCACAGTTCTATGGCCCTACTGTGTAGTGTGTAGAATGTAGATCCATTACTAACACGCGCACGCCGGGCAGGGATATTAGAAATGTAAGCAATATTTTCATTAAAAGTGGTAAAACAAGTTATAAAAATTATACTTGATATCCATTGTGTGTCAAAAACATGTTAAAAATTTTCGTGTATTTTTTCCTGGGACCGAATTTAATCAACTTGACCTGCTACCGCCAGTTCAAATTGAATTACCGATTTAAATTCATCCTGAATCTTTAATTTTAATCGGTGGTTCAGAATTAAGCCAGCAGTAAATAGTTCTGCGATGCAGCTCACATTCATTAAACTTGGTCCCTGAAGCTGAAGCTGACACTGAAAAATTTATTAACTGATTAGATGAACAGTTTAGAATCGTGGCGACCAATGATATGGTCTAAAGAAGCCGTTATCTTATCATATTCATAAGATTATTAGCAAGTAAATTCTTTTTAAATCTTATAAATTGATTAGAATGTTTTCTGTTTTTGGTTGATATCAACATACTGATGAAGGTAGACTAGCTGATGGTTGATATTGTATAGCTACTTTGTTTCAACTGTTGATATCAACAGTTAGATAAATGTAGACTAGAAGGTATGAAGCTACGCTAATGGTTGATATTGTATCTACACATCTACTGTTTAAAGGTAGATATTAACATGTAGATAAATGTAGACTAGAAGGTAGGGAGCTATGGTGCTGATGGTTAAAGTTATCCTGGAGAAATGAATGTACTGACTATTTGAACCACTTCTAAACAGTACACAGTTAATCTATGGAAATCTAAGTCGAAACTTTTGAATAAGATGAGAAATTCCTAATATACCAAGTCAACAGCCTAAGCAAATATGAAACGATTAAGTGCTAAACCAACAAAAAAATAATCCGAAAAGAATCAAAAGATATGAATTTCTGAAAGAATTACCAACACAAAAGAATTATCAATACTTCTGTGGCCGAATTTAAAGAATTTGAGCGGCGGTTTAGATTTAAGCCGCGGTTTAAATATGGTTAGTTCCACTTAAAATTGTATCAAATGTTGCAAGATTTAAGCCGGCGCTTAAGTTAAACCGGGTTTTGGCGGATTTATACCGCGGCTAAAATTCTTTAAATTCCATCTCGGGATTTTTTATTTATTAAAGATATGATATTATAGATTCTAGATTTACTGTGAGTTCTGCCTAAAGAAAAGAAGATTTTTAAAGTGTCCCTCATTTGTGTCCACAATTGTATCAGTTTCTAAATAAAATAAAATATTTAAAAATGATTATCTTGGTATCAACCATTAGACGGATTCATGTAATTCCTATTGGATATCCCCCCTGATTGTCATCCCAACCATGGATGAATTTAATTAAAAGAACAAGCACTTGTCCTCAAATTGTCAGTGCCCATATTGGATATCGGGATCAAGCATTAAAGATTAACGATACTACATGCCTAAAAGTTTTCAGTTCAGTGTAGCTATTTGAATCATTATCATGGTTTGAGAAATGTATTACATTTACATAACGCATGAATTGTTTTGCTTTTTTTTACCTGATTTGTATGTTTTGAAAAGTACAGGTTTACTGAGTCTACTCACACCGAAGAAGTTCTTGGATTCAACTTGAACCTGAAAATTAAAGGGAATGTTAGCGAAATTTAAAGTGACACTCACAGTGCCAATTTTCAACAGGTACTGCACTTAAAACCTTTACCTGATGCTTTATTTTGTAAAATTCTATATGTTTTCCTGCAGGAAAAAGAAAAACCACAGTTGAAAATAAATTAGTTTTTAAAATTATAAACATTGATATCTAAGTCATACGCTTTCAAGGGTACCTTTGAGAATCGGGCATTTCCATCACTTAAGCTTAAATAATAAGGGTCGAACCTTGTTGGAATGAGAAAGGTTTTTTTCCATTTAAAGGATTTGAATCGTAATTCAACTCTAGTTTTCTAGTTTCTTTGCAACATGATGAACTAGGTTTATAATATCAAAGTCCTACGACATTAAGTAGCAAATATAAGGACCAGAAAATTGGAGTTTGAGACAAGTGTATTCATTTCCTTTAACGAAACAAATGGGGATTTTAGATAAATACTCTGTTTGAAATTCTGACTAAATATAAAGCTATCTCCTAACAATTTTAATGAGAACTAATTCCGAAAGATCTTTGTTTTGCTAAGTTTAAGTTAACAATATTTTCCACAATTTCTCTTAATTTTGAAAATTGAATTTAAAAGATAAGAGTTTCCTGCGCTTTAATTATATTTTAGGTATTTGATTAACAATAAGATTTTAAACACAATATTTATAAACGCCTAGCTGCAAGATTAGTAAAATTTTCTGAAATTTTAATCTAAATATTAAATATTGCAAATCCATTTGATAAAAATATTTTGTTCCAGTTTTTAGGAGCATCTAATATTTAGCTGTTTAGTAAATTGGTCTCGCATTGACAAATATAGATTTTGGGAATTTAGTTTCAAATTAAGAGAATTTGACATTTTAAGAAACGCAGACAATAATAAAAAACTTGGAACTATTGTAGTAGAAAAAGAATGGTGTTTAAAGGGACTGCAGACGATATTTCAAACCCCTTCATTAACATTTATACCTTAGTCTGATTAAAGGGACTGTATAGAAAAAATGAAAGGGGGTATAGGCTGAAACCTGAGAATCTCAGGAGTTGAACTATACCCATAAGACAGCTATCTGATGTTCCTGTCTCGAGATATTGACATAAAACTGTGTCAAAATTATACAAAACGTATATATATGTTAGATATACGTCCGTATCATGTAACCAGAACTCCCTCCAATGAGAGTGCAGTATACTGGTCACGTGATACAGACGGAGACACGTGATAATAATACTGCCTGCCATTGGTTGGGGTTCTGGTGACATGTTCCGGACGCATAAATAATATTAACAATTATATCTATTAAAAATGAAAAATTATTGAATTCAAATAATAATAGGATTTTCAGTTTTTGAGTTTTTCAGGCTCCTCTGGGATATCCTTGTTTTCAGATTGGTTGCGTATTTGTTAAATATGATCTGCTCAATATTACTAATCTCATACAAAATCTTACATATATACGTTTTGGTATAATTTTGACACAGTTTTATATCAATTTCTCGAGACAGGAATATCAGATAGAACTCTTATGTGTCTCAGTCAACTCCTGAGATTCTCAGGTTTCCGCCAATAAACCCTTTCATTTTTCCTTTACAGTCCCATTAAGATAAATGAAACATCCTTATTTTTCTTGATAAACATTTGTAATTTTCAATCGTGGTTTCTCTGTAAAAGTAAACTAATGCTGAATAGACAATGGGGAACTTGCAACATTTAAAAATATCTTTTCAAAATGACAATCTCTTACTTATTGTTACTCAGACCCGAGACAGATGTTTTAAGGGTACCATTGTGAATCGTGGGCATAACCTTTTTAAATGCAGGAGGCTCAGTTTAAAGTACGTGCGTAATCCCTTTAAGTGCACAGCTCCTGTAAAGGGATTCCTATACTCCTCATGCCAATTTATTTAGCATAATGTACAGAGATAACAAGTTTTAATATTATGTGTTGAAAATATCTTTAATAAACATTAAAAGCAGTTTTTATACCTAGAATGTACTTGTAAACAGCTACATGTAAGTAGGAAATATATATTATGTAAAATGTATGTCAGATTTTTAAAAAAGTTTAAGTTTAAGTGTTTTCAATAGTGCCTTCTCATGAGCAAAATTCTTCAATATTTTTTTAATATCCTATCTAAACCTCTGAGTCACTGACACATAGAGTTAAGTCCCAAACTTTAGTTTTCGATGTATCATATGTATTGTATACACCATACAAATACATATATGTTTCATAAGTTTGCGATGTATCATGTAAACACCATAAAGCATTGTTATCATATGCATTGTGCACACTTAACATGCAGATCGTTATGTAATTTAGAAGGCGGAGGATATTGAGGAAGCTAGTCATATGTGCTCTTAAATTTCCAAGAAAAACTACTGTTTTAGTATACCTGGTATTCTTGATCTTCTTCCAGACTCTGAAGTGTAAATGTCGTCTTCTCTACGTCAAGATTATCTGAAGATTTATGAATCACCAGCCTGGTCCAACCATTCTCAGTTAAGCTCTGGAACAGATGATATAGAATCTAATTTCATTTGACAATTTGCAACAGCAAGTTAGCAACCCTTATTATGCAAAATAATAAAAGTATAACTTTCTCTATAGGGTTACGATCGCAAACTACTTTACCTGTAATGGCCTAATGATTTTTGAAAATAACAATCAAAAGTTTAAAATTAGATATCTTGCCTTCAGAACAGGGATACTGATATACTCAATGCAAAGAAAAAAAAATCTTAAAGCTGCAAGGAACTAGACATTTAAGTAACAGATCATTTCAAATAGTCATCTATGAAGTCTAATTTTAGATTAACCTTGAAGTAAAGCATTGATGATGAATATATACATATAAATTTCTTTGTCTATTTAGTTATTGTATATCTTTTGTTTTTAAGGATGCTTCTCACAAATTCTGATTTAAAAAAATATTTAAGCTCAATTCTGCATTTTTTTGAGCAGATTTTTGTTGCAAAATTAAATGCAAATAATGTACAATTCCACAGAAAAAATGGTGTGGAGAAGAAAGAGCAGCAATAACTCATTTTGCATGGAAAATTAAAAATTTTACGTACAAAGTTTGAAACAATTTTTCCATTCTGCTAGTAATCTCCTTTGGACTGTTGTATTATACCTGTGTTTTCCTGTAGTACAGGATATGCTCGAGAATAGGTCTGTAGGACCTAACTGACCAGCTCACTGTATAAGCACCTTCACCTTCTTTTCTAACTTCATCCTCAACAATAGGCTCCTCAGGTTTACCTGATCATTTTTTTGTTAAAAAAAATGTTAAAATTTTTTTTTATTTACTATATTTAGTAATTGTTAATATCTCAAAAATGTACTAGAATACTCTATATGCAAAACGGCATAACTATGTGTATTGTAATGACATGTGTATGTTACTGCCAAAAAGGCTTAATTGAGAGATAAAGGACATTTTCTTGATGTGTTGTTTTAATGTAAATATGAATCTAAGTGAATCGCAGTGAACTGCTGTCACATCCAGGAATCCACTGAATTCCAATATCTTTGGTAAATTAAAATACAAAGATAATAAAAAATTATAAAGGAATTACCAGAAACAAGGATACGACTTTTGCCAGAGCCCAAACTGTTAAGTCCTTCACAAAAGTACTCTCCAAAGTCTATTTCATTCATATGATGAAAGGTTAGACTGTGATGGGTCTGATTACTCCTGAAACTCCTGACCCCTGGTTCAGGTTTAATCTCCTGGTTTGTGTTCTTAAACCATTTGATCTCTGGTTCTGGTTGAGCAAGAACTTTACATGAGAGCTCAACCTTTCTGCCAACTCCTCCAAGTACCCTGGGATATTCTGATTCTACTACAGGTGGATAGAGTACATCCATATTTATTATTGCACTGTCTGGTTCTCCTATACCATTATCAGCTGTACACTTGTACTCTCCAGCATGGAACCGGTTTATATTGTACACAGTGATACTTTGTCCCTCCTGCAGTAGCTCCCCGTCCTTTGTCCAGGTTACAGTTGGCACAGGGTTACCAGTTACTCCACACTTTAGGGTCACAGAGGTATCTTCTTTTACCATCACACCTTAAGTATAGAATATACAGTTTTCAATAAGTTAATGTACAAATTTTCCTTCTCAAAAAGAAAAATCATCAAACTTATAAATATAATCAAACGTCAAAGTTATAATTTGTCAGAGGTATAGGGAATGCAGGAAACATTGTGCGATGTACATGCTTTTTTCAATTATGAATCCTCTAAGGGAGTGTATGACCAGGTAACATTTTTCAACAGAGGGTGCAGTATTATAGAGAAAGATCTTAATAACAATGCAAAAGATTACGGTGTATAATAAAAATGTAAAAAATTTGATGGTTAACTAATGTATTGTTTAGGAACAGGTTGAGAAATAAAATTAACTCTTATCATTTAAAATAAGTAATTTAATTCAGTTGTCGGTTTCTGTATTAATTCATTGATCACAATTTTTGCAGTAGAATTCATTGAATTTTTATTGAAACAACAACAAACGTCTCATTTTTATAATACTGAACTCTTGGTTCAAATATGTTACCTAGCCGGTCTCTCCATTTAATACACTTTTATCTAACAGAAACAATTCTCCTCCAAAAATGTTGATATTTCTGAATACACATTCCTTACAGTGTTAGAAAAAATTTGTCGCTTGATTGGAAAAGATGTTATGATCATTACGGGTAAAAATTGACTAGCTTTTATCCTGTCATACTTCCGCCACTCCATTCCTACCTCCTGAACTAGGTTCGGGAAATGTTGATGGAGGATGAAGTATATCAAGGCTGTGACGGATAGAGACTGGAACCTCTCTATCACTTTCAACCTCGCAATCATACTCTCCTCTATCCTCAAGCTCAAGATTCTTTATTACAAGATCAGTTCCTTTCAGCTCAAGTCTAGGGTCCCTTCTGACCTTCATTCCTCCAGCTGTTAACACCCTAAAGAAAAGGTCAATTGCAATTTGTCTGTTTTTGGTATACTCATAAAAAAGGCTGGAGACAAAGTCTGGACAGCATTTAAAAAGGTTGAAAAGGATAATTTGAAATGACTTTTATCAGTTGATAGATATTAATATGTGCTAACTGTCTGTGATAAACTTTTTGGGCCGCTTCAGAGTTTACCTAACCAATTCTTTTATTCTGGAGATTTAAATGTTTTGTATTTAGTCTTCGAGAATTGTACTAGATGAATTGCTTAAGAAACAAAACAGGACATCAATTTAAATAAGAAGATTGAATTAGTTCTGCTTAGTCTTATCCTTTGAGGTTAACCCTGCAGCTCTGTACTCAATTTCTTGCAAATTAATTATTTCTTTTTAATGTCTGAATATTAAGGGAGAACTGAAAACATGTCTTTTTATGATATTTTGAAGCTTGGTTTACTTATATATTTGTGCATATGCATTGAGTTGGGTTGAAAGTTTTCTGCTGTTGATGATTCTCCCTATATGTTGGCTAACACTAGACAAATAAGTTATTTACCATCAACTGGTACTTTAATTTGCATTATTTATTTTTGACAGGAACTCGGCTTTGATTGCACGAAATGATGGTTGACTGGCTATTAATATTTTTATTCTTATATATAAATATATGTGCATTGTGCAATGTGCATTATGCAAGCTTTATTGTTATAATTCTGGGTTGTCACCTTTCTCAGTTTGATATAAATTGCTAAGCATTGAAATTAGTTTTATTCAAGTACTAGTTAAACATGCAATACTGTCTTCGCTCACTCTAATTTCATAGAAACTAATTAATTTTTTTTATGAGTTTTTAAAATGTGAGGGGTACGTACATTTTGATAGAGCTTAAACCTTAAAAAGCAACGTTTGTAGGGGTATGATTCAACTCCATAATTTTGGAGATTTAATTGTGAAACCACTTGTTTGAAAGAAATTTCGAATTTTGCATAGTGGAAATAAAGTAGTATAATAATGCATAATTTTTTTAAAAATTGTGAAATCATTAAAATTAGTAAATTTCCACTGGGGAGTAGATTCAGTTGGTTTACTCTTAAGTATATCCTAAAGTTTATCCATGATATTTTCATAATCCCCTTTTACAAAACCTTATTTTAGACAGGCAAACCTTAATTAATCATTTCTGTATTTTAGCTTCTTTTCAGTATAAGTAATTAAGGCTGTATAAACTGTAAACTGTAGTAATTTGTAACAATTAGTGTGCTTATTTCCTCAATGGTTTTAACCATTATCAAATTCATGCTGATTTGCAAAATTATTTCATGTTTCTGGGATATAATCTTGCAAATTACAACTACATTTTTTTTCGTATTAATTCGCTTTGTAAATTGTCTTACTAAACCTTTCTTGAAGCTGTTAAAATCAATAAAACCTTTTGGAAATTTTTGGGATATCCTGTATTATCCAAAATACAAAGAACAGTACCCACTATGCACAGTATGGGTCAAGCTGGAATTGATCTGGAAAACTGTTTGACTACATTGCGCTCAGTAAGAATTACGTTAGTTCTTGAGTAACTGTGCATACCACTAATAACCTTAGACAAAGAAATTGAGGCTTTGCTAAAAGCTCTGATTTTCTAATCCCTTTATCTTTGGTTAGATCAAGTAATCTAAGTTTGAGATGTAAAAGGTTGCAAAGTTGTAGGAATTATAAATCAGATTTTGTGACAATGACTCAACTCTTTATATATAATTATTGATAACAATTTGAAGCTCACAGATAACGACCTTAAAATAATTTTTTTTTAATATAAGACTACCAACTCATACATAACGAGAGGAGAGAATATTAATAAAGACTGATGCTAATCAGTTTGAATTAACAAAAACTTGCATGAGGAAAAAATGAAGTATTTTCAGTCAACCTGAATATGCAGAATTTGTACTCATTGACCGAATGGACTGAATTTTTTTGTGGACATTCAGGGGTGGCCGGGGGATGCCGTGTCATAGGCTAAACAAATTTGAATATTCCAACTGTAGGGTGCAAGGAACTGCAGTCCCTTGAATATTCCACTGTAGAGTGCATGGAACTACAGTCCCTTGAATATTCCACTGTAGGGTTCAAGGAACTACAGTCCCTTGAATATTCCACTGTAGGGTGCATGGAACTACAGTCCCTTGAACATTCCACTGTAGGGTGCAAGGAACTACAGTTCCTTGAATATTCCACTGTAGGGTTCAAGGAACTACGGTTCCTTGAATATTAAACTGTAGGGTGCAAGGAACTACAGTCCCTTGAATATTCCACTGTAGGGAGCAAGGAACTACAGTTCCTTGAATATTCAACTGTAGGGTGCAAGGAACTGCAGTCCCTTGAATATTCCACTGTAGGGAGCAAGGAACTACAGTCCCTTCAATATTCAACTGTAGGGTGCAAAGAACTACAGTCCCTTGAATATTCCACTGTAGGGAGCAAGGAACTACAGTCCCTTGAATATTCCACTGTAGGGTGCAAGAAACTACAGTCCCGTGTATATTCCACTGTAGGGTGCGAGGAACTACAATCCCTTGAATATTCCACTGTAGGGTGCAAGGAACTACAGTCCCTTGTATATTCCACTGTACGGTGCAAGGAACTACAGTCCCTTGAATATTCAACTGTAGGGTGCAAGGAACTACTGTACCATGAATATTCCACTGTAGGGTGCATGGAACTACAGTCCCTTGTATATTCCACTGTACGGTGCAAGGAACTACAGTCCCTTGAATATTCAACTGTAGGGTGCAAGGAACTACAGTCCCTTGAATATTCCACTGTAGGGTGCAAGGAACTACAGTCCCTTGTATATTCAACTGTAGGGTGCATGGAACTGCAGTCCCTTGAATATTCAACGGTGATTTTTAAAAATTTTGATTACATATTTCTGTTGAGTATTGAAGGTGCTGATATTTAATACTTTTTAATTACAGAATCAAAGCCATCAAGAAAGGACTTGTTATCCCCAAGTATAAAGATGCGATAAAAAAGGTAGGGCTTTTTAATATGCAGTATAAACTCTAAGACTGTGGAAGAGGAACACAATTTATTAAGATAAAGTTTTGATTATATATATTCCGATAAACATGAAATACAGAATTTGTGCAGTGTGCACTGTGCACTGAACAACGGTGTTGGTAAAAGTATTAAAACACCTTCATACAACTAAAATGTCGTCTCTTTGTTTTTACCTTGCCCCCTGCTTCCAAAGAAGTATATTATCTCCTAGATCAACAACGGTGCACTCTAACAAAAATATCAAATTCTAATTCTTTAAGCTAAAACGATTTTAATTAATTTTTTAATCTGGATTCTACAGTTGAAAATGTTTGAACAAATATCTTAAAAAAACTAATTTTTTAACGAAAAATGTTTGTTTGAAGACACAGATAGTAATATAATAAAAAAAAACATTATTCCAAATAAAACAATAATATTTTTAAAAGTTTTAAAATTCTTTCAAAGAACTTAAAAAAGCTGTTAAAAAACATTGGAAGATATCAAGTAAACTATTTTAATGACCCAAATATAGTTGTTTAGATTTGTGCTAGGGAATATTTTATGACTCCTCTGTGGAGAATATGTTTAGATCTGTGCTAGGGCATATTTTATGACTCCTCTGTGGAGAATATGTTTTGAGATTTTCCTAATCGTAAATTTTCTCCTAACTTAGCCCTGTAAACCTGAAAATACAACGTTAACTCTGTTATGCCAGAAAATAAAGTAATAAAACGTAAAAATATGCTTCCTATTATATCTTTCTTCTTTTCTAACGAATTATCTTAATATTTTTGCTTGTAGAAAAAAATGTTAAATATTTTAAATTCATATTTGTGTTAACTAAAGAAGAAGAGTTTTAAAATTTAAACTTCAATTGAAAAAAATTTAGTTTATCCGGGGCGTTTGAATTAAGGGACTGCTAGGGTAATTTCAGTTGACCCTTTATGCAAAGTTTACAATGTCCGATTCACAAAGGTACCTTTAGAAGCTTTGTCTGATCAAGTATGAATTATACATCAAAGTTTTAATTTTAAAAACTAATTATTTTCAATTGTGGTTTCTCTACAAAGTTAAGACATTATCAGAAGTTTCACTAGAAAAACGACACTAATTATGATAAGATATAGGTTTAAAGGATACCGTTGTAAATCAGGGATGGCCATCTTTGCATGGAAGGTTTATTGAAATTACATTTACAGTCCCCCCTCCCCTCCTCCTTATCAATTTTGTAAATGCATCTCATATGTTACACAAGGATACAATTGGTCATGTGGCCGCAGCGCTCGGCCCCCTAGCCTATACTAGCCGCGGCGCTCGGCCCAGAAATTGTCTTAACCTAACCTAACCCTAAATTGGTATGAGGGGTGGGGAGGGGGGTGCCGGGTGGTGGATCCAAAAATCTTATACTAGGACGGAACCTGATATTTAGAACACACTTTACTAGAAAAATATATTTGTATTGTACTTTACATACAACAATAGCATCTAATCAACGCTATTATTTATCGTATGACCATATCACATAAATTTCATTAGAAGGGGATCATTCATTTGGCGTACAGCCCCGTTTTGCCTCATGTAGTCTGTAATTTACTGTACTGCTTGCCCAGGCTAGTTGAAATTCGGCCCGGTACATGAATAGAAGTGGAATATACCGTTTTTTTAACAACCATACAGAAAAGATTCCTAGGAATTGGATTTCTAGAAATGATGTTTCTAGCAGCTATATATGCACGTCTATGAATACTTTTACTTTAATAACCCTTTAAACCAAAAAAAAGTATTTTGTCCACTCCTGATATGTCAAAGACAGCTGTAAGTAGTTAAAAATATCACCCCCCCCCACATACCGCCCCAACCCCCATATTAAAAAAAAGATAAATTTTTACCTCTCCTCTTGATGTAATTTGAGTATCTCTGCCTGTATTTGGAAACCCTGGGACATTTTTCAAAATTAGAATTTTAATAGAAAATAGATTAAAGGAATTCATAAGTATCCTTAATCACATGAGTTTTTTAAAATTTGTTTGGCGATTTACTTTGACAGTTTAAAAAAAAGGAATATGACTTCACACACAAAGCTTGATGTACGTAGATTTAAAATTTTCCATTTCCTGAATCCCCCTTTTGTGTTTATTAATAACTAATTTTGAGAAATTAATGTTCATGACTGTAATTTTTACTCTTCATTATTGCAAGTAACATCTTAATAAATTAATGCAATTCCTTCTGCAACCAGACCCCCCCCCCCCTTTAGACTCAGATTGTGTGTACAAAAAGGGCACTGTCAATAAAATATGTCTGTGATACAGGTAATACAAAATAGTAAAGCTCCCCCCCCCCCTTGAGATTCACTACTCAAATAAATGGTCTTTTAGATTTATCAAATTGTACAAAAAATCTGATCATTTTATGTTTTTCCTTGACCAAATATTGGTGAATTCACATTGAGAACTAAATCTAATGTGTACATCCAAGAAAAATAAATGCAAGAGCAAAAATTGGCTTGGTTTGTAAGTTGTTTAGCTCTGTGCCCATAAAGAAATATATGCAAAAAGCACATTTAAGTTTCTCCCATGGTCTGATTTAGAGATAGAGTTTTCAAAACATCTATAAATTATCTTACAATCATGATAAACAGATTTGGTAATTCGTGTATTAAATGCCTGTTGGTTTTTCACTATTTTCCTAAAAATCGACCCATAATTGTTAAGATTATGGCTAAAAATAAGAAAAATAATTTTTATCTTTGGCTCTCATTCAAAAATACATAAAGATATCAATAGTGATTAAAATGGTGAATTTGTTTATCATGGCCTTAAAGATAATTTACAAACGTTTTAAAAAGTCGATATGCACCTAAAGCTGACCGTGGGAGAAGCTGAATTGTGCTTTTTGAACATATTTCTGTTTGCGCATAAAGCTAAATAATGCCACAAAATTAAATTTTCCCTGACCTGATGATGTAAACCTTTCACATCGTGTTGCACAGATATAGGGATTAAAAAAATCAGAGTTTGTGGTAAAAAGTCAATAAATAAATGTATTTTTTAAGGATTAGTGAGGGGGGGGGGGTGAGATCAATGAATTACATTTTAGGAAAGAAGCTCAAAAAATTATTACATAAACCTGCTCTTGATAACAACTTTTAAGAAAATTAATTTTTGTACCTTGCGTAGAAATGAAATGTGTAAGTAAAAAGAACACATTGTAAAACCTCATTTTTTCACACTTTTACTTTTCTGACGATTCAATTTCTTAATATGATAGTGTCAATTTTTACATCATTATAATTTCTTGTCATAACCTTTCTTTCTGATAATACAACATTAACTGTTGCTTTCACCGGGTAAAACCTCAACCATCCCCCCCACACTCCACCGTCCTCGGTGGTAAAACTAATTATTTCGTACGGTACCGACTGAGAAAGCGGGACGGTACAAAACACCGGCTAAAAACTTACGAAGATATTTTTTTTAAATACAGGGTTACCCTGCTACTGTACACACAAAGGAGGAAACTTCATCGACATTTATTCTGTCTTATTTCTTACATTGTTGTTCCCCGTGCGCATCTCTCAGTTTCAACTTCCTGATTTTCATTCTTATTATAAAGACCAGACGCACTCTAAGTTAAGCTTAAACTTTTTGCGCAAGCGCGCACCCTTTTTTTGCTCAACATTTTCCAGATTTTAATGGAAATGATGCGAAACTGAAAAGATTTAACATCAAATTATAGGGTGTTCTGAGTTTTTAGACTTGATCTAAAAAAAGTATATGATGATGTTTTATGATGGTATAATAACAGATTGACGTTGAGTTTAAAATATTTAATGTAGGGCATAAAAAGAAAATCAAGTTTTTCAAATCTCGCCTAAATCCACTAAGTAATCTTGAGCATATACTTATTTTTTTAGATCAAGTTAAAAAAAACCGGCCTTAAGAGACCTTATATTTAACTAGTGCATATCTAGTCGTCATCTGTTGGTAAGCTAAGGTCCTCTGCATTACAAAATGCATTTCAAATGGCCTTTTATTTCAAGAGTGTCCTAAATATCTGATAAATTAACCCATGATTATCACCGTATATGTTATTCTGAAGGTATCACTCTGAAATCCGCCATTTTTAATTTCATGAAAACCAGCGCAGGTAGATATAATTTCCATTCAAAAATCTTTTTAAAAACCTTTAAAACTGATTATACTCTTTTACATTTAAAAAAATACTTTCGTAGTTTTGCAGATTTTTAGACCTGTAGCTGTTAAGACGACTATACAGTATACAATATAATAAAATCTTTAAAAATACCTGCAAGAAAGCTTGCTATTGAAAATTATACCTTTTAACAATAAAAATGATAGCCTTCCCCGACACTTAAATGTTTTATTAAGTGCAAAAAGAAGATGTTTTGACGATCACCACTAATTACCCAGCCATTAATCACACCTTTGATGGTTGAACTAGGTAGGGGTGTCATAATTAGGGTTATTAATTTGATTGACAGGTTTTATCGTCTCTAAACTATCAATTAAATATCATAATTGTTGACAGGGAACTAATATAAACCTGGTTTTAAATATATCAACTCTTGGGACATAAATTGGTTCAACATTTGTGATTTATTACAATTTTTGAATGATTGGCTTTGGCTATACAAGTAATTTATTTTCAGATTTTATTTTCATATTTTTTATCAACGATGAAAGAATATATGTGAAGTCAGAGTCCGAATTTAATGAATTTGAGCCGCGTCTCAAATCCACCAAATACTGCGGGTTTCAATTTAGCGCCGACTGAAATCTCGGAACATTGAATACACTATTCTAAGTTGAACCGACCATATTTGACCCGCGACTCATATTTAAGCCACCGCTAAAATTTGTTCTTGTAGTTTCCTCTCTGTCTATCAAAAATTGTTAAAACAAATTACAGAACCTAAACGTGGCATGAAAATCACAGAATTGTATAAATACAGTTTAGCAACTAAAGAGTTTTCTTAATCTAAGCAATACTTTTGGTCTAAAAGTCGTCTTTCAATTCCCATAAATTTCAGTGAACGAAAAATCCAAACCATGGTTATGTTCAAAACCTAAATGTCAGGTTTTGACACAAATGTTGTGATCAACGTTGTGGAAATTTGTCCAGTGTCCCGGCAAGTTTCAATAAAGAAACTATTTCTAACATATTGTTCAGCACGACAAGAAAATTCAAAATGTAAAAGGTCGTATATATATTAATAAACCATTTTTGGGGTTTTTTAAAGAAGTTTTTGTTAAAAATACGAAATAAAACGTTAATAAACATTTGGTGAACGTACAAAAAAGCTAATTTTAAAAACTAACAAAATGAAAAAATAACCACAGTTGCAATTCTTTGTATTCTGAATTGCTTTTCCACTTTCCAGCTTAAAGATCAAAAATGAATTTGAACCCCAAAACATTTCAAAGATAGAATTGTATCATTAGTTATTAGGTTAGGTATAAGATAAAAACGAATTTAAAAAAGAAAGTTTTAAACCGGTCTAAAAGTCAAGCAGATTTTACGGTAAGATCCGCTGAATTTCGTTTACAATTTGACCGGCTTAAATTTGAGACGCGGCTCAAATATGGTTGGTTCCAATTAAGATTGTATCCACTGTTTCAAGATTTAAGCCGGCTCTAAATTAAAACCGGTTTTTAGTAGATTGAAGACACGGCTCAAATTCATTAAATTCGGACATTAATAAATTGGTCGCTTTTCTTTTTCTATACTTTTTAAATGAAAGAGGATAACACAGTTTTTAATGAATATTGAATTATATATGGAGATCTAAACGCAATTGAATTCAAATTAAAGAAGGTTAGTCCATGGTAGTCCGGGGTGTACCCAGCCAAACCTGAATTCCGAAACCCGCTGCATCTTTCCTTTGTTTATGGTAAGAGTAAACACTGTAACTAATGTTTATATATTAGCATTCAGGATTAAGAAAAATGATGATTAAAATAAATTCTCTTCTCCATAATACAGATTTGGCGCACCCAAGGGACTCAGATGATGGGGGGGGGGGGGGGATTTTGTATAATGCTTTAAATGAATTTTGCATGGGGGGAAATACTGTTAAACCATAAGGAAATTTGAATTATGACTATTTTATGCAAAACCGAATTTAGATTATTTAAGACTTAATCCCAAAATAATTTGAAAAATTTTGAATTATTAATTAAAATTATTGAAAGAATTTAATCTTTTTGTTAAATAACCAAGAAAAATGGTGGCATGAACAGTGCCAGCATTGAAAGGCTGGCCAATCAAAAGCAATCAAATGAAAACAGAAAAATTGGCGAAATCTTACATTTTCATCTTTTTAATAAAATAGTTGAAGTAGCATTTAATAGCTTTAATTATTACCTGAAAAAAAGAAGTCTGTGTCCCGTAATACTCAAATGTTATACACTAACAAAAGTTATGTATTGTGTATTGGGTAATTGTATTCTATTTAATTGATATAAATTTACCATACACCGTCAAAATAGTAAATATGCTCCCCTCTACTCCCATAATTTATTCCCCTTCACGAACACAATAATTCCCCCGCCCCCTTCAATCCACGCCCACTGGCCCCTTACCATCCAACCTAAGGGAAACGAACCTATTGCATTTTTCGATTTTTCCGATTTTTCCCCTTTTTTAAAATCTGAAATTGAATACTTTGCAGGGTTGTTCTATAGGAACAAAATTTAGGCCTTTGATTGAAGACAAGTTCCGATCTGAGCATGTTACGTACATTTTCGAAGAGAAACAACTATTTTTAGTTAGATGAAGTTTATAGGATATCGGTGTAAATTCTTAATTCTATTCTTTAGAAAAAGGTGTCAGTTCACATTACAAACTAGACTTTTAGGGCGCTTTCGCTAATCTTCTATTTCAACTTTTAATTGTGGCTCTATCGGTGAGCATCTTCTCTTTGTACGATATGAAACAATAACAGAATACAGTTCGCGGATTTAATAATACTTTTTTGGACACAATTTGTTGTGTGCAATTTTAAGCATCCATAAACCTTTCCTGCAGGGTTAAGTGAGGTCCCACACAATTTTTAGGCCTGATCGTTTCAGCCGCTTTGACGTTTATTGGATAAGAACATACAAACAGACAAACAGACACCCTGACAAGCAAAGTATATATAAATGACAGTAAGTTTCTCTATCCGTTTCTCTGAGGTTAATTCTCATATAGCTTTGTTTCCCCATTAGTTCAGTTATTATAGCATCCCGACCTCCTGTATTCAAATCCTTCTATAAATCGATCACAATTAGATACACATCACTACACGAGCTGCAGGGGTTTAAAGGGGGGGGGACAGGAATTGGTAAATATATTTGAAAACACAAAATGTTTGACAAGCCTTACAAGGGTTACACCTGATAAAATATTGCTCAACTATAGTGACTATAGTTTTCGCTTTTTAGGAACATGTTCAATTTTTTATCAACCAATAGTCTTTTTTGTTATTCTTAAAAGTGTAAATGTTTGGTTTGAAATATTGCTGAAGATTCTAAATAAGGAACCCAACTTTGGCAATAGTCGATTGGGAATTACTCAATTGGAATTACATATTGGGAAAGTACTGGAAGGGAGGGAGTCACAATAAACACTCAATGTCATATGTTTACAATCTGGGATTTTTTTGTAAATATAGCTTTTTTTTGGAAAACAATGTTGCGGGTCATTAAGAAATGAGAAAAAAATTCCCCAATTTTTTAAAACTCCCTTGATCCTAAATATATGTTTCTTGACGGGAGCAACAATTTGTGTATTTAGAGATTTACAAGGTTTAGAATGTCAACCTTTGTCAACAGATCAATCCTTTATTATCCTCATATCATTTATCACAAGGGTGCACCCCTTCCTCCCTCTATAGATCCAAAGTATGCCCCCCCCCCCCCCCGAGATCCCAGGGGTGGATTACCCCGCCCCTCATGTCTCAGGGGAACTATTTCTACTTTCTATATTCGAGTTCCATGAACAATAAGAGTGCGTACATTAAATGCCATTTATTTTGAAAATAAGTTGTTGAAATATATAACGTATAGTGTACTAGAATTATCTACAGTACAAACCAGAGAACTGTGAATAGGAGGACAACATGAAATCAATAACTAAGGTGTATTGTATGTTGTTACAAAGCAAATAATTGTACAAGTAACTTTTTAAATCACTTATTAAAGGATATTTGTCTGTTAACATCGCACAATTGCTGTGTCTCATGTTCAGTGAACTATTCAAAGTCATAAGTTAAGTATTAAAGTCGTCTTTCTATTCTAGAGTTTTCTGGTCCTTACTG